CACACCTTCTCCAGGGGCAGAACTACTTCTCAGAATATAAAAGTCAAGATAGCTCTGTAAGCGTAGAGTCAGTAGAACATTTGATGGTGGAGAAGAGTCAGATGTACTGGCAGTAAGGACAAAGGAGACTGTGGTGTTATTCAGCCCCCTTATAGCAAAATAAGAGCATATCTCCCTTCCTCCACTAGCTTTCTATGGCAGGCAGCATCAAAAAACAATGATATCCTCTACAGTATCCCAGGTCTTTTTTTTTTTTTTTAAGATTTTATTTATTTATTCATGAGAGCCACACACACACACACACACAGAGAGGGAGAGAGAGAGAGAGAAGCAGAGACAAAGGCAGAGGAGGAGCAGGCTCCATGCAGGGAGTCTGATGTAGGACTTGATCCTGGGTCTCCAGGATCACACCCTGGGCTGAAGGCAGTGCTGAGCCACCTGGGCTGCCCCCCAAGTCTTTTGTAATAGTTCGTACCCATTTCTTTTTTCCTCCATGCAAGGGAAAAACCTGAATTTATAATTTTGGGGTACTTGTATTGGTAGAGTATAAATGTTTTAAAGGCAAAAGTCTTCATCATCGCTATAATTCTACATTACCTGTTCGAGTGCCTGGCTGATAACGATACTATGGAAGAAGCTTCTGAACCCTTTCATCTATCTACAGGACTTCATATATACCTCAAAGCACTCTTGTTTGATTATAACTTTTGGTTTTGTACATCTAATAATTTGTAAACCCTTCTAGGAGAGTTGTAACTGTTGTTCATTTTGATTTCCCCAGCACCTGCTAACAGTATCTGGCACATAGCAGGCATTCAGTAAATTTGGAATAACTAAATTGTGTAGAACTATAATCACATTAAATGTTAAGAATTTGAGGACAGCTCTAAAATAGCTTTTATCATTATGCCGTTTTCCTTCTCTTTTGGTTTCCTTAATCTTTAGACCTTTTGCTTGCCTGCTTTTGCACCTTGTGACATATTACTTAGCTTCTCCAATATATGATCTCCTCTCCTACGATAGTCTAAGAATAGATTTGGTAATAACTCTTGTATTTTACCTTATCTTAGGACTGTCCTCATCTACATTGACTCTCATGGGCAGCTCAGATATGAATCTTCCAACTGAGAAATCGTAAAATAGAGGAGTTCACTAGCACCCTGATTTCTTTTCTTCTTAGCATCAGTGATAAGAGAGAAGGTTTTGTGAAGCTTGGGAATCTAAGATATATGAGAGCTCTGTCCTATCTAATCCTGCTGGCCAGCTGTGTAGCTGGAGACATTGACCAGATATGTCTTCTAACTCAATTTGATGACAGTTAAGAACATGGATTTAAGAAGAGAAGAAAGAAATATTCTCTTAGATTTCTGACTTGGATAATGTGTGGTGAAGGACTTCCAAACATAATAGGGAGTACAAGAGGTGTGGACTTTGAGAGGGAAGAATGATGAGTTTAATTATTAATATACTATTAGGATGTTCTAAAAGATACCCACATGAATGTATCTAGTAAGGAGATGGATAAAACAATCAGAGAAGTAAGGAAAAGGTCAAATTTGAGAGTTCTTAAACCACAAGAATGAATGGGATTTTCTTGGATGTAGTGTAGCATTAGAAGTCACCTAAGGCAGAGAGTAGAATTTAAACGTAGAAGAAAGGGAAAGCCATGAAGAAAGGACAGAAGGAATGATCTGAGAGGAAGAAAAACCACAGAAGTTCCCACCCCAATGACAAAAACATAAGAAAAAAATTTGAAGAAAGAATGTATCAATACTGTCAGATATTGCAGAATAAAATAACAATTGGAAACTGCTCTTTGGATTTGATAATTAAAGAGTCACATAATCTTATTGAGAGAAATTTCATTGGAATGGCAGAAAGAGAAGCCTCATTACCATCTCTTGAGGTCTCATAGCAAGATGAAGAACAAGAAACAGCATGAATAGGAGATTCTTTTAGGTTTATAAGAAGAAAGATAAGATGGTAGTTTAATTTTTGTAAAGCCTAAGATGCAGGCCTTCCTCCTAAATGTCTGACCAATCTCTGAAGAGTGGAACTTCTCAGACAACCGAACTTTCTTAGAAACCTGGGCTATGGCAGGTTCAGCAGACACTGGGTTTTCTGCTACTTCACATATGTTGTATAAGAGTTCCTTGCAAATTTCTCTCCCATGGTATTTCAGCTCTAATTCTTTGTTTCCCATTCAAAAACTATTGCCATAAGGTGATTCAGGGGTGACATTATAATTTTAATTTGTCTATAATCTATTTTTTAAAAAACTTAATCATACAAATTTATTATTAATAACAAACTATCTCTTCCCTTCCCCTTAATGCATCCAGTCGGAATGAACCCTATGTTTCCCATCGGTTTTGGGTATTTGCTGGCTGGGAATTCATGACCACTGGGTATTTACTCTTCTTAAGCAGTAGATTTCACACTCAAGTTTTTACTGCCAGTACTGTTTTAGGGCCCATGACAAGATTTTCTATGTATCAGTGCCCTTCTCAGTGAGTTTAGGGAAAATATTTAGACCAGAAAGCAATAAAACTGGGGGCCCAAGTTTCTGTGCCATCACCTTTATGTACTTGTAGCTCACTTCTTACCCAAGTAAATACATATACAAGTAGAAGTTCATGCCTCTGTAATTTGAGACTTTACCCCAACTGACATCCTCTACTTCCTACCTTTACTCTAGCCACTACTTGAAAAACTGCATAGGAGTTTATACAGAACACAGGCTGGCCATTGCATTTTAACCTCTGCACTGTAACTTTTGGCTTCCATTTTCTTTGAACTGTTAATGTTCTTCAGAATACAAGCTTCTTATCAGGAACGCCCTTAGGAATGTCTAGTCTATTATTCTCTCCATCCTTACTGGGCATCATCTTATTAAGTTTCCTTAGCTTTTCTAGAATGCTAAAAACTGACTCAGATAAAGAAATTGTAGATTGATGCAAGTGCAGATTTACTCTGCTTTCTCTACTTGGCCCTGAGAACACAGGCTGCAGCTGTTTCACTAGTCCAGGGAAATAGTGGTGTTTTTCCAAAACTCCGTTTTTGTTACACTGAAAATCCTTTTGTTATAAAATAATCACGATCCACCTCTGTTAATGGCCCCTTTATGCTGCTCCCAAAAAATTTCATTCCATCTTTGAATAACTCACAACAGCAGGCAAAATAACAAAGTAACCTCCCTCACAGACCTTAAAATCTGAACAAACAATTAGAATATACCCAATGCTACTGTATGAAAAGGGGTACATAAGAGCACAGAGCAAAAGACAACTTATCTAGTTAAGAGATTTCCAGGGCAGCCCCCGTAGCCCAGCAGTTTAGCACAGCCTGCAGCCCAGGGTGTGATCCTGGAGACCCAGGATCGAGTCCCACATCGGACTCCCTGCATGGAGCCTGCTTCTCCCTCTGCCTGTGTCTCTGTCTCTATCGCTCATGAATAAATAAATTAATTTTAAAAAAAAGATTTCCAGAAATTTTCTCTAAAAAATAATATTTAAGCTGCATTATAAAGAATAAATAAATGTACCTGGTCGGAACAGTGAAGAGGTTCAAAGCACTTCAAGTAGAGAACCTTGAAAGTAAGGATGAAATAAATAAATAAATAAATAAATAAATAAATAAATAAATAGAAAGAAAGAAAGAAAGAAAGAAAGAAAGAAAGAAAGAAAGAAAGAGAAAGAGGATGAATATAGTAACTCAAGGAACTGGAAGAGTGGTATGGCAGAGGCAGGGAATGTGAAGTAAAAAAATGGCACAAAGGGGAGGCAATCATGAGAGACCTTATAAAACACATAAAGGTTTGGTCTTCCACCTAGGGACGACGGTAAAAGTATTGAAGAATTTTAAGGAGAAAACAGTTTGCATTTTTGAAAAATATTTCTGGTTAATGAAAAGGCAAGTAATATTAGAGGCAATATGACCAGTTAGGAGGTAGTCACAGTAATCCAGGTAAAAGATGAAGATTTCTTGGAGTAGAGCAGTGGGCAATTAGGATGGAAAGTAGATTTTTGATCCAGATACTTAAGAGCCAGAGTAAAATGGATTTTATATGACTCTAGGCTTCTGACTTGGGCAACTGAAGAGTTGGTGGTGTTATTAACTGAAAAGAGAAGCAAGTTTAGGAAGAGGTTGCTCACAACAGGTTTGGACATGTTACACTTAATACATGTGAAAGACATGTTTAAAAGAGTAAAAATCTAAGACCCTGACAAATGGATGAAACTGGACACTTTAGTGATATAAAGGGGCCATTAACAGAGGCATCCAGATCAAGGGATGCCTGGGTGGCTTAGCAGTTGAGTGTCTGCCTTTGGCTCAGGGCGTGATCCCAGGTCCGGGGATGGAGTCCCACATCGGGCTCCCTGTGGGGAGCCTGCTTCTCCCTCTGCCTGTGTCTTTGCCTCTCTCTCTCTGTGTGTGTCTCTCATGAATAGATAAAATCTTTAAAAAAGATGGATCATGATTATGTTATAATAAAAGGATTTTCAGAGTAACAAAAACTGAGTTTTGGAAGGACACCACTATTTCCCTTAACTAGTGAAACAGCTGCAGCCTGTGTTCTCAGGGCCAGATAGAGAAAGCAGAATAAATTTGCACTTGCATCAATCAATCTATAATTTCTTTATCTGAGTCATACAGTTTTTTAGCATTCCAGTATTTTCCTGGACTAATGAGACAGCTGCAGCCCTGTATTCTCAAAGTCCCAGGTAGAGAAAGCAGAATAAATTTGTGCTTCCACCAAAATCCATCACCAGTAGTGTTCATGTACGGGTTGAATAGGTCCAAGTTGGGACTGAAACAGAGAACCACTGGAAAGCCTTTAAGTCCTTTCCAGTCAGGAGATTGTTTTTTCCAAGTTATCAAACATATATATATCAAACATATATTAATATAATGGTATGTGGAAAACCTAAGGCATATTTTACATTTAGAGCACTGTTTGAAGTTTTTTAAATCAATGTTATATTTTGTATCTCTTACAGGTGAAATGAATCAGAAGTATAAGGAACTTAAAAAACGAGAGGAAAATATGGACAGTAAGTGATTATCTTATTGATACGAAAATATTCTCAGATGTCTATTCATATATACCAAATCAGAGATCTTATCTTGGGAAGATACAATGGCTAGTAATAAATGTAGAAGTGTAGACATTACAAGCATTTGCCTTGAAAAATTATTTTCTTTTCTTTTTTTTTTTTTTAAAGGTTTTATTTATTTACTCATGAGAGACACAGAGAGAGAGGCAGAGACATAGGCAGAGGGAGAAGCAGGCTCCCTGCAAGGAGCCGATATGGGACTCGATCCTGGATCCCAGAATCATGCCCTGGGCCAAAGGCAGACGCTCAACCGCTGAGCCACCCAGGCATCCCTTGAAAAATTAATAAATATGTAGTATGACTTAGGGATGGGTAGAAAAATTGAAAAAGGTTTTGTACGTTTGTGTGTGTATGAGTATTTTTGTGGTAAAGATAGATTGTAAAGCTAGTACTTCTATTTACTGTCTGTATAAAGATGACTTACTGATTGAATATTGAGTGTTCTGTTTTACATGCTTCACTGTATTCATCTTTAGTATCTTTTGCTTTTTTTTATTTTTTAGCTTTTCATAGTACTCCCTCTTATTATTTATCAGCTTTCTCCTCAGACCTTGTTACTTGGTTCTATCACTGACTGTAGCTTTAGTAGCTTTCTGTTGCAGCTTCTCATTTACTTTTTAAAAGTCTTAACTTTGTAACTAGATCTTCACTTAAACTTAATTGGATTGTACATTCAGAAAATTTTCAAAATTGAGCTATATTACCTGTTACTGGTTTCCTGTTTTAATAATCATTTTGCCAGAATCTGTGGGTGTGGTGTCAATTGTTACCTTCATAGAAGCAGGCCATAAAGTAGTAATTGCCAACTGATACAACAATATCCCAAGATTTCTTTAAAATCTCAGCAAGTACCAAAAATTACCTCAGAATTAATTTGTTGTTTCATGCTAACAGTAAAGTGATTTTTAACTGTAAGTTTTTATTTTTGGAAGAGTCCTAGAAATGCCTTAAGAATATAAAAAAGTAAATTATATACCGATTCTGTATTAGGAGAAAGGAGGATTTCTTAGAATATAATATGAATTATTAAATTTATTTAGTTGAGATTAATGCAACATTTTAAAGAGAATACTCAAAAAAAAAGAGAATACTCATTTTCAGATAAAACTGGTAATAACTTTTCAGTATTAAAATTAGTGGCTAATTATAAATAGGAATAATTATAGATGTATCAAGATGATCCTATGTAAAAACAGATTTTTTTTCTGTTCTCCTTTTTATCAGTTGTTACTTCTGAGTCCATATTTATAATCTTTGGTTTATTTGTCTTAAGATCATAACCATTAAGCTTTAAAAGCTTGAGAGTATGTAGAAATGTTCTTATTAATTTAATTACCCTTGGGTTAATAAAAGATTAAATAATGATAATTTCACATTTGCTTTGAATTTCTAAAAAGTACTGTTAAGACCTGCAAATTAGTATTTATCTACTGTTAACTATATTAACAGTAGCTTCTCATCATATTTTGAATCTGCAGCTTTTATTGAGACTTTTGAGGAAACTAAGAATCAGGAACTGGAAAGAAAGGCACAGATAGAAGCCAACATAGTTGCACTTTTGGAACACTGTAGTAGAGTAAGTACCATCAGAAAATGCAGTGGTCCACTATTGCATCTGCTCATTTAATGTATCCTTTAAATTCCCTTACTTATTATTTTATTTCTTTAAGCTATTAATTTGTGTATTTCTAGCAAAATTCAGCTAAGGACAATAGAAGGAAAGGATGATATATGTATAATGTCAATATTTAGCAGTAAGTAAGACTAACTCAGAGTTTTTGTTAGGATTTTCTTCTATGTTAATGTATCTGAATTTGGAGAAGTAACATTTGCACAGCTAACTTAAAAATCTAAATGTTATAATGGAAAATGTTGATACATTTTTACACAGTCATTTGCATATAAATACAAGGTATTCTTTCCTAGTAAGAACCTACAAAAATATAGGTTATCAAGGAGTATCTTTTGATTCATTGAAAAATGCTTATTGAGCAGCTACTAATGAGTGGTACATTGAAGGAAAAATGTGCAGTCTCTTTTAAATATTCTAAGTGTCTTAAGATTCCCAAGCAGTTCTTAATGTAATGTATTTGAATTTTTTCTACAGTGAGATAAAATTCAGAATTATTTCTTTTACATTAGCTTTAATTTAGTCCTCCTTTGAGAAAATCTGACTTTCATTGAGTCTCACTCTACTCTTCTAAACCTACATAAAACATATATAATAAATGATGTATTTCAAAAAGAATACCAATTTAAAACTTTTAGTTCTTAACAGTGTTTTCCAAGAGTTATTTTGGAGAGTTAAATCAGTGGAATTTTTTCCATTTTTATTTCTTTACAAATACAGAATATAAATCGTATGAAACAGATCTCTTCTATCACCAATCAAGAGCTGAAGATGATGCAGGATGATCTCAATTTTAAATCTACTGAAATGCAGAAATCACAAAGTACGGCTAGGAATTTGACTTCAGGTGAGAATACAGATTTTATTTATTTATTTATTTATATTTTTTTAGAAAACAGATTTTAATATCCTTTTTTTCTGTAACAAATTGAAAGTTTAAAATTTTAATGTCATTTTATTTGATTTTTTTTTGAAAGGCTGAGAATATAATTTAGGATTGCTTATTAGTCCAGTCATTAATAGCCTCAGAATTTTGTGTGACCTTTCACATCAACTTAATAGTATTTTTTTAACTTAATACTATTTCATTGGGACATTCTGATTCATTTTTAATATTTACTGGATGCTTGCTTTGTGCCTGTACTATAACATTGGTACGCAAAGATAAAAGAAAAATAGTCTCTTTCCTCAAGGAACTTCCAACTTGGTGGAATAATGACAAAAAATTAAAATATAATCAAACAGTACTAGGATAGAAGCATTAAGAGCAACAGAATTACACTGAGTTTATATCCACCCCAGTCTTGAGTAGTTAGGAGAGATATCCTTGAGAAAGAAATATTTTAATTATAATTAGTTTGAGCCGTTATGACTACATGATACTAGAGCAACACTCTTCAATAGAAATGTTGATACATTTCTTAAATAGAAATGTAATGCCAGCCCCACACATAATTTTAAATTTCCTCATGGTGTGTTATAAAAGTAAACAAACAGGTGAATTTTAATAATATATTTTACTTAACCCAGTTTATCCAAAAGATTATTATTTAAACATGTAATCAGTACAAAAATGATCAATGAGATTTTGCAGTTACAGTCCATCTCAGCTTGGATCTAGACCTCGTTAGGTGTTCAAAAGCCTTAAGTGGCTAATGGCTGCCATTTGGACAGTATAGATAGAGATTAAAAACAAATACACAAAATAGAGCTTAAAAAGCTAGACTCAAGAGGAAAAAAGTTTAGGATAAAGTCAAAATTTGTATAGAATCTTTGGTTCTTGAACTGATGGTTTCTACCTTTCGGTCTTTTTTTAATGCTTGTGTGTGGTGGTATTGAATCAGCTGTTTTTTGTTGTTGTTGTTTTATCTACTTGGAATTAAACTGGCAATTAGTGAAATTATGAGGAATAAGAATACTTGCTAACTTAAAAATGTTGAGATTCTTGAAATAGAATAATGGGTCCAATAATATTCATTTATGTGAAATCCCAAAACCTGACCTGAACTGACATGATGTTTTAATTATCTTTTCTAAAGTGACAGTTCATAATTTTTGCTGCAGAAATAGTCATGTACTTGATGACAGGATGCTCCCTTAGACCCTGCTGTGGGAGTTATAATCAATATATGTGCTATATTACTTTTGTAAAATCCGAAGAATTCTGCATTCTAAAACAATTACCTAGGAGTTTTATATTTATACATTTGTAGACCTATAAATCCATGCTAAATGTTATTAATATACAGTTGAATTCAGGTTGATGATATAAGTGGCTAATGGTTATTTTATACATTTAAGTATATTTTATCTGCCCAGATTTATTTAGAGTTTGCTGTAGTTTTATATATATATATATCTGAGTTCTCTGCTAAACAAATAGAAAAAGTACATTCTAAATTTGATTTATATCTACTACTGGTTTGACTATCAGAATTTTTTAAATTGTGATAAAAAACACATAACAAAATTTATCATCTTAGCCATTAACTATACACACAATGTTGGGCAGCAGATGTCTAGAACTTTTTCATCTTGCAAAACTGAAACTTATACTATTGAAGAACTATCCATTTCCCTCTCACTTCTCTCCTCTGCTAACCACATTCTACTTTCTGTTTCTATGAGTTTAACTACTCTAAATACTTCATAAGTGGAATCATGCAATATCTGTCTTCTTGTGAATGGATATTTTACTTACCATAATGTCCTTAAGGTTCATTAGTGGTGTAATATGTGACAGTATTTTTTTCTTAAGGCTGAATAATATTCTATAGTATATATGTACTACATTTTTTTTGTACTACATTTTTTTATTCATTTGTTGATGGACATTTAGGATGTTTTTACTTCTCCGTTACTGTGATTCACGCTGGAATGAAATGGGTGTGCAAATATTTCTTTGAGACCTCTTCAATTATGAGTATTTTTACATCTTTATTTTCTTCTTTCTATAAAGCTAAAGCATTTTATCTTTAATTATTCCATCTAGGAAATCTCTGTTTTGTGTTTTAGATGGTAGTTTTAAGGTTTTCATTTATCTAAAGTCAATTTTAATTTAGAAAGTTTTTGCCTCCTCTAAGCTGTCTTTATATAATGGCTGTTGAAAAACATATTTTTTTAAGAGGTAAATATCAATATCAGGAAATGAATTCAGTTATAAGGCCTTTTAATTCCTTTCATATTTTTATATTTTGTGTTTAATGTTTCCTTTTAAAAACTACTCATTATATTTTCTACAGTGACATAGGGTTGAAAAAGACTGAGAACTGACTTAATTTTATTCAAGTTTATTACTATGATAAAGATTTTACTGAAAATATTCCTTATTAAGGTCTGAATTTTCTGGCCCCTACAATTAATTTCATTTACTCAATTATTTTTAAGTTTTAATTTAAACTAAGCATATAAATTATTTTTTCTCTCTTTCTTAACACCATCCACCATCAAAAATTTCTAGTATCTAGAAATCACCATAAGAAGTCTATAATATTCTTGTTCACCTTTCAGAGACAATGAATTTTACATTTCCACTTGTGAATTTTGCCTCCCTTTTGGCTTTTGGGTTTCTAATTGTAAATCACCTGCTTTTCTTAGTGTACTCTGTTTCTTAATGGGACAAAATTATTTCTTGGGCGGACAGTAAAAATATCTTGATTATAATGGTTTGTGGCGCCCCCCCCCCAATGATCACTATACATAGATATACATTGTATCTGTAATATAAAAGTTTCATGGGAGGGTGGTGATTAGGAAAAACATAGTCTACAAAAGGCTCCTTAGGGCGACAGTAATGGGGGAAAAAAGATTGTGAAATGCTAGTGTACTGCATGAGTAAAGAGGCAAGGAATCTGTCAGCAATAGTTTTTATTTATATTTTTGGAAAGGAAACTCCAGGGAATAAACAAATGCACTGATGGCAGAATATTTCAGAAACATTTCCCCATGTCAAAGTGGTTCCTTCTGAGATTTTGCTACTATGTACACACTGCTTAGTAAACTTTGCAACTTCATAGCATATCAGAAGGAACTTGTCTGCATCCTCTTCCTGTCTCTTCCCTTGGAGAAGTTTTTAGCTTTTCAAGGGGACCTGCTGTTAAAGGAAGATAAACTTTACCCTATACCAACCAACCATTTTCTCCCTTTCTCTAGGAAAAACATTTTGTATGACTCCTAAATGTATGTCCCTAATATATCTTCAAATTAAACTTAGAGTTCAGTAGCATTTTCACAGAACAGTCAAAATTTATACAAGCTATGTACATTTCCTTTTTGGAGCATTGAAACACCATAAGCCTCAGTGACTTTGATTTAGCACTTTGATTTTCATTTTAATGGTTTCCAACCCTAGTTGAGATATGAATCCAACAAAACAAAACCCACTCAACAACATTTAAATCCAGATATCCATAATATTCTTTAGAACATATATGTCAATATGATTGAATTTTAATACTATTAAAGGGACAAAAGGAAATGTTCAAGTTTAATCATACCAATTTCAACTTGGTTGGTAAAAACTTTCTTTCTTAGATCACTATCCTTTGAATCCTTAAAAAAAAACTTTGATATTTTAATCTTTATGGCAATCGTTATACCTAAGAAGTCATTCAGTTTTTGAAAGTTTTATTTTTACTATATCTCACCTTCTACCTATATTTTAATCCATAATTCTGGTTTCATAGATGGAAGCATTTAATAGCAGCTTTATATTTGATTTTTCCTGTAGAGAATCTGTATAAATAATAAAACTCAATTCCAAGTAGATTTTGCTAAATTTTATAAGAAGCAGCAAGTTATTGCCTGCCCACACAGAGGGAGACATTCCTGGTAAGAGGGCAAGTAAGTGCCAAAATCCATACATAAACTCTATTTAGACCCTAATCTGACCAGTGAACTATGTAAGCATTAGGTAACTTTAGGGAACCTAGGAAAAAGCAGCAATTAAAAGTTGAAAAAGCTGAGTACAGAGATTTTGCATACTGCCTACTCCAAAGGAGAAAAGTTTTAGAGTTTTATTTAGTTCAGTAAAGTTTATTGCTCACTTAATATAAATCAACAGTTTTTAAAGGAATACAATAGAATCCAGAATCTCTACAGCATATCATTTAAAGTGTCAATAATAATATAAAAATTCATTAGCCATGTGAGGAAATAGGAAAATGTGAGTCAAGGTGAAAAGCAGTCAATAAACATTGACCTGAGATAATCCAGATGTTGAAATGAACAGAAGACTTTAAATGTATAAAAACATATTTAAGGGATTAAAGGAAAATAAAACAACAAATGAACAGATGGAGAATCTCACAGAAAAATAAAAATTACAAAAGAGAATCAGGTAGAAATCCTAGCATTGAAAATATACCAAAAATGAAAAATTCACAGAATGACCTTAATAGAAGATTGAAGACAGCAGATAAAGGGTCCATGAACTTGAGGATCAATAAAAATGATATAATCTGGAGAAGAAATAAAAATGAACAGAACCTAAATGTTCTGTGGGACAGTTTCAGGCAATCTGACATACATATAATTGGAGTCCCAGAAGGAGTGGAGGCACGCACATAGAATGAGGGAGAAAAGATAGTTGAAGAAATAATAATGGCTGAAAATCTCCCAAAGTTGATGAAAAACCAGATTTGACAGATATAAGAAGCTCTTGAACTCCAAACAGGATTGATTTAAAAATCCCTTACCTAAGCAAATCCTAGTTAAATTGCTAAAATGCAACATAAAGAAAAAACAATGAAAAATACCAGAGAAAATACATATATACAGGGAATAATATATCCTACTATAAGATTAAAAATTTTTTTATGTTACCCCTAAATCTCTAAGTTATAAAAGGAAAATCTTCATTGTTTGTCTTTTAATGAAACACCACATTTTTCTGAGGCTATTCATATCCCTACTTTAAAATAGAAGTAAAGTGAAGGCAACATGTTCAAAGATGAAAATGTATCACTACATGCCTCTGTCTATAAATAAGTAATTACAGGATGTTTAGGATTATTACCATACCTAGCCCTGGGAACATAGGAAACTAGCTTAGGCAGGTTTGAATTCAGGTATCTTCATCTGGATGTGCATGATACATATATTTCAGTTCTATTTTAGTATCTATCCATAAGAATGCATGTATCTCTTTGGATTACTGGTTTGTTTTTTTTTTTATAAGTACGCAGTAGTGCGATTACTGGATTATAGGATAGTTCTATTTTTAACTTTTTGAGGAACTTTCATACTGTTTTCTACAGTGGCTGCACCAGTTTGCATTCCCACACATAGTGTACAAGGGTTCTTTTTCCTTCACATCCCCACCAACACTTGTTTCTTATGTTTTTTATTTTAGCCATTCTGTCATTGTAGTTTTTGCATTTCTCTGATGGTGAGTGATGTTGAGCATCTTTTCATGTGTCTGTTGATTATCATATGTCTTCTTTCAAGAAATGTCTGTTCATGTCTTCTGGCCATTTTTATTGGATTATTTGAGGGGTTTTGGTGTTGAGTTGTATCAGTTGTTTATTTATTTTGGATACTAACCCTTTAGCAGATACATTCATTTGCCAATATCTTCACCAATCTTTTTTCTATATTTCATCTTGGAAAAAAAATCCTAGGGCAGCCCGGGTGGCTCAGCAGTTTAGCACTGCTTTCAGCCCAGGGCGTGATCCTAGAGACCTGGGATCGAGTCCCATGTCAGGCTCCCTGCATGGAGCCTGCTTCTCCCTCTGCCTGTGTCTCTGCCTCTGCCTCTCTCTCTCTTTCTCTCTCTGTCTTTCATGAATCAATCAATCAATCAATCTTTAAAAAAAAAAATCCTAAAAGCCTCTTCCAAGTATTGTCTTCCCAGCTATCATCCCTCCCTTTCAGGGGTTTCACATCCAAATTTTCAAAAGCCTTCCTCTCACTCTTGCTCTCATTTTTTTCCTATGAAATCTGTTCTCAAGAAATATATCAAGGTTTTTCTGGACAGTAAGTCCAACTTGTATTTTGCGATATATTTTTTTAAATCCCTAAGTAGTATTCTGCTTTACACATCACTCCTTTGTTCTTAAAATGACTTTTCACCATAGTTTCTGATTTTTCTTTTATTTCTGTAGTCATTTCTTATTCTCCTTTATGGGGTCCTCCATGTCAGTTTATTCTTTAAAATTTTGTTATTCTTATAGGTTCTATCATGAATTATTTTCTCTTGATGATTTCAGCCATCCCCATAGTTTCACGTTCTGTCTCTATGTTGATGATTTCAAAATCTGTATCTTCAAATTTCTCTCAGGACTTCAGACCCATATATCTATACATGGGCCTTTTTACTATTTGGGTGCTTCTGAGGTAATTCAGAGAACATATCCTAAGTTGACTTGAACCCTTCATATCATTCCCTCCTACAAACAAAAGTTGGTAGCTCCCTCTGCCTCCGCATCATCTACTCTTTTACTGAAGTTGGAAATGGGACTCTGCATTGACTCTTTTTGCTCAACTACTATATCTGGTCAATTGCCTATTTAGTTAACCCCAAATCTCTGATATCTCCTGAGTCCCTCCACATCTCCTGCATTTTTTCCCTCATTTATTTCTGTGTGATATAACTTTAGATTTCATATATATAGTTGTCTTCCACTGGAGTATAGGTTCTGTAATGATAGGGATCTCATATGCGTTGTTCATTGCTGTATCCCCTATGCCTAGCACATGGAAAGCACTTAATAAATAATGTTAATGAAAAAAAAAAACCCAAAGTGACTATACCAGTCTACGATTTCTTATGTAGATCGCTGAATCAACATTTAACTGGTCTTCCTGCATGTAGTAATGCTTTTCCAATTAGTTGCCCTCATTGAAACCAGGGTGAACTTTCTAAAATTTAATTATGCCACACTAATGGATTTTACATCAATTACTTAATATAGCCCTTAGGATAAAGTTCCAACTCCCCATTTTCATTACAAAAGCCCTCCATGAACTGAAATTCTCCCTACATTGACCTTTGGGTTCTAGTCATACTGAACTTCTGTTATTTGCACAGATGTATCATGCTTTCTTACCTCTAGACTTTGCACATGTTGATTGTGTTCTCTGGAACACAATTACTTTCTCCTTGGTTTGGTTGATTCCTAATCTTTAATTAAGGCCTTACTCAGTTAAAAGGCATGTCTTTAGAGAGCTCTCTTGACCAGTACCACATGTTCTCATAGCACCCTTTATCACTATTTTCATAGTAGTTATCCAATTTATTGTAAATGCGTATTTAATTTTCTGGTTCTACCTCTAGAATATAGCTACTTGAGCAAAAACAATGTCTCTGTTGATTTCCATTATATTCTAGACACTTAGCACATAGTAGATGCTCAACACTTTTAAAACAAAGTATGAGACGCGCACACCCCCTCCTACACATACACACACATATATGTAGTCAGTCCTCGTTATTCATGGATTCTTTTTTTCTTTTTAAAGATTTTATTTATTTATTCATAGGGACACAGCTAGAGAGAGAGGCAGAGACACAGGCAGAGGGAGAAGCAGGCACCATGCAGAGAGCCCGACGTGGGACTAGATCCCAGGTCTCCAGGATCATGCCCTGGGCTGCAGGCGGCACTAAACCGCTGCGCCACCGGGGCTGCCCTATTCATGGATTCCTATTTGTAAATTTGCCTACTCACCATAATTAATTTGTAATCCCAAAATCAGTACTTGTAGCACTTTCACAGTCATTTGTGGATATGTGCAGAGTCAAAAAGGTGAATTGCCCGACTGCATTTGCAGCAGAGATCACATAAGGCAACTCTGTCTTCTTGTTTTAGTCCTCATACTATTAACAAGTATCCTTTTTGTGGCATATTTAGTGCTAGTTTTTCCCACATTTTTGTACTTTTTGTTGGTGATTTTGCTGTATAAAATGGCTCCCAAACAGAGGCACCTGGGTGGCTTAGTGGTTGAGCATCTGCCTTTGGCTCAGGTCATGATCCCCGGGGTCCTGGGATCGGGTTCTGCATCATGCTCGCTACGGGGAGCCTGCTTCTCCCTCTCCCTATGTATCTGCTTCTCTTTCAGTGTCTCTCATGAATGAATAAATAAAATCTTAAAAAAAAAAAAAAAAAAAAAAAAGGCTCCCAAGCATATTGAAGTGTTGGCTTGTGTTCCTAGGCCCAAGAAGGCTTCAGTGTTCCTTGCAGAGAAAATGTGTGTTAGATTAGTTTCATTCAGGCATAAGTTGGCCTTGAGTTCAGGGTTAATGACTGAAAAATATATATTAAATACGGTGTGTTTAAACAGAAACCCACATAAAAAAAGATTATGTGTTAGTTGATTGATGAAAATATTGTGACCAGAGGCTTTTAGGAACCTAACCCCATATCTCCTCTAGTAGCAATAGTTTAGTATTTGCTAACTCAGTATTTACAGTGACTTTATAGAATATAACTACTGTGAATAATGAGATTTGACCACATATATAGTTATACAGTTTTGCTCAAAATATATATATATATATGTTTCATAATTTGCTTTCATACCCCTATTAAAAATAGTGGGTCTTTATCTCATAATACATATTATTAAGTAAGAAAAAAATACCTGTGTGTTCTTAAATGTTTGTATGAGCATGGAGACAAATTTGGCTGATATATATCAGGTTATATTGATTACCTGGAGGATGAGTATTTTTTTTTTCTTAATTTATCTTTGTATTGTCTCACTGGTTTCAATGAAACTTGTTCCTTTTGCAGGTACTCTTATAAAACCTTTTTAATGGTTGCATCGCATTTCTATTTGTGAAAGGAATAAAGTTTTGACTTCTTGAATTTTCTTGTGTTTCAGATAGTCAACGTCTACAGTTGGATCTACAGAAAATGGAACTTCTGGAAAGTAAGATGACTGAGGAACAGCATTCTCTGAAAAACAAAATTAAGCAAATGACAACTGACCTGGAGACATACAATGATTTGCCAGCTTTAAAATCAGCAGGTGAAGAAAAGAAAAAGGTAAATGATAACAGTCTTACAGAATTATAATTCGAATTGTATTTTCTTGATCAAATTTAATATATATGTAGTTCATAGAATTTATTTTCAGTTGATTATTTGATATATAAGCTAAGATGTTTATGTATGTAGGAGGAATTTAGAGAGATGTAAGTTTTAAACAAAAGGTAAAAAGAAAGGAAAAGCAAGAGCATTTCAACAAATCTGAACTTTGTTAAATGCAGGTTTGATTATGAAATTTCCCTCCTTAATACTTATTCATCAGTGGTTTTTCATTGCCATTTAGATTAACTTAAATTTGTTTGGATAGGAACACATATATAGCAGCCTTAATAGAATTATTAACACAATTAATACTAATTTAGCCTGAATAGTGTTATTAATTCAGTTAGTGCTAATTTATCTTATTAAACTCAAAAGATAATTTTTACAAACAGGCTTTGGAGTATAGTCTTGGTAGAATTTTACCAGAATAATGTTGAAATTATTTAAGTTAAAAATGATTTATATAGGCTAACAAGTTATTTGCTAAGCTCTGTTATTCACTTCTCTTTGGACCTATCTAGAAATTACATCAGGAGAGAACAGTATTAACAACCCGCAGAAATGCCTTTAAGAAAATAACAGAGAAGCTAAACATAGAATATGAGACATTAAAAACACAGTTGCAAGAAAATGAGACACATTCTCAGGTAAAAAGAAAAAACAAAGACTGAAATTTATTTCTGTTTTTAGACTGTCTTGTGTTCTTAATGTATATTTCTATCCCAAAACAATTTTTTTAACTTGCTTTATTTATCCTTCCAGACTTTCTGGATTTGAAGGTAGCCAGATTATATACAGTCTCCACTCAGAATGAACTTACTTTTGCTCTTCTTTTATGAACCTATATTGAAGGACTACTCTGTGCTAGGCCTTGTTCTGGGCACAGCTGTTAAAATAATAGCTTTTAAATATTTCAAAAATAAAGCATTTTTAATTGAGAAACTTTGCTAACTCACAAAAACCACAAATAGAATAAACCTTAATGACTAATATCCCACAGAAGACATAATTCTTGTCATTTTTGTGTGGGTCCTTCTAGTCTGTATGTATATGTTATATGTACACATACTTTATATATATACATATGTATACATTATTTCTATGTATTTATAGAAATGGTATCATATTGTACATATTTGGAAGCTTGCTTTTCATTATTAATGATACCTAATAACTACTTTGTCAGTAAATTTGTTAAAAATATGATTATGTATAATATTTGGAGTTAGTATAATTTACTGAACCAATTTCATATTATTGGACATTTAGGTTACTTTTAGTTTTAAAGCTGTTTAATGCTGTCAAAAGCAGACTTGTCCTTGAACTTCTTGACTTAGATTTCTGATTATTTTACACAGGATGCACAGACAAGCCCCCTTTTCATATCATTTATCTGATAGAATTACCTAAACAATGTTGGAGATCTAGATTGAGTACTCTAAGAGGATAGCGTTGATATCTGTCTCATTCATTTTCTCCCCACCCTGTGCCAATGGTTGGGATATAATAGCTGTTCAATAAGTATTTGTTGGAGGATTAAATGAGCATGTGTGACATGTATAAAATCAGTAATTAGGGTCTGATAAAATTGATCATTCTCATCTAATTAGTATATATGTTAACTATTTGCAACTTATAATTAATGCATTCTTCCTTTTCTTTATATGGTAATATGATCATGATAGACAATCACTGTTAATATTTTGGTATATTATCCTTGTAAACTTTTTTCCTTTGCCATTATACACCCATATTAATTATATTATTTTATAAAAACTGAAATTCTATGCATATAGTCTTTAAAGATTCATTTTGTCACTTAAGTATTTGCAAACTCCTTTTTTGATATTTTATGACTGCTATTTTATTGTATGGATTTACCATACTATACCATGGCAGAGATGTACCTTATATTCTTTTTGAAAGAGGTAGAGTTTCATCAGAGTTTGTCACAGCTACTAAAAGCTTAGAAATCATTAATTTACATTTCCAAATTCATCATTTATTCTATCTACACTTCATAATATACAGGTCTAGATTTGGAAGTGACAAAATTATCCTATGCTGTTGAGAGTTGGGATGGATGCTGGAGAAGAAATCTAAGAAAAAGTTTATGAGGCCATTGTCTTAAGTGGTTCTTAGGAAAAAATGCTGATATTGCTTATGGAATATCACCCCTCTTCTTTCACTGAATAGATCACTTAAGGAGGAAAACACTTGACAAACACAATTTCTTAGAGCCAGGTAATGGTTACCTTGTTTATTCACACATCAAGTGCTAATCATATACTTAACACCATACATCAAGTGCTAATCATATACTTAACACCATACACAGGTAAGAGGAATTCATAACATAACTCACAATCTACAGTCCTTCTCTGTATTATTTGTTGCTTTTTGGGAATCCCCACTGATCAAATAAAATCTGGTCTCTTTCGTTTTTGCAACTATTTTCTTGAAAACTGTTTTTTGACATCTACGAATAATTTTCATAACAGACTTTTTGATGAATGGCTGTTATTTATTTGATATCATTTAAACATATTTATATTGGAACAAACTATAAAGCTCCTAGAAGAAAACAAGGGATAAAGTTCCTTGACATCAGCATGGCAACAGTTTTTTGCTTATGACATCAATTGCATGAGCAACAAGACAAAAATAAACAAGTATGCCTACATCAAACTAGAAAGCTTCTGCACAGCAAAAGAAACAATCAACAAAATGAAAACTGAATGGGAGAAAATATTTTCAAATAATTATCTGATAAGGGATTAATATATAAAGAACACACAACAGACTAAGTTGTAGGGAAAAAACAGATTCATGCTTCAAGATATTCTTGGAGGTTTTAAGGCAGGTCACTAATATAGATGTATAATATGGAAGGAAGTTGACCATCTAACACAGTGTTGCTTTTATAGCATTATTCATTTAGTACTTAAGAGGTCTGCATTCTAAGAAGGCCTCCTCTCTGTATGAAACAAAGGGGAAAAGTTTGGTACTTGACTTTGCAAAAGGTTATTAGAGATTTATTGCCAAAAAGTGCTGACTGCTTCCTTAAGTCCATCTTAACTTTGAGTTCCTATCTAGGGAGCCAGATCTGATTTACTAGTGTTAACTCACAGCACATACAGTTTACATAATTAATTAGTTAGGATTTATCCTAATATCTAGATATATCTCTTTAGAGGAAACAATGGGCTGGTTGCTACATTAATACTGAATGTATGCCCTGAAAATAATTTTAACATAAGAGTAGAAAGAAATATTATTAATGCTACTTCAGTTATCAAATTCTTAAAAATGATCATTACCTCTTAGAAATGTCCACACAGAACATTATTTTAATGTTTCGTTTTTCAGACAGTCCTTTCCCTAGGAAAAATACTATGTGCATCTTAAAAAAGAAAGACCATAACCCAGAGTTACAAGGTTAATTAAATCAGAAAAACAATTTAATTCTATAACAGTAAAATTGTCTTCTGAGGAAGCAACCATCAATATAATATCCACATTAGCTTCCTGTTGATGCAGAAATTATTGTAACAGTGCCAGCTTTTTACCAGCCCTCTTATAATCTTCACACTGCAGCTCTGCTCTTATCACAGCTTGTGGAATTAGACAGGAAATTTAGCCCTGGAAATAAGGAAGTTACTCCTATATAGTTGAACCTTTGACAGTGTTAGAATATATATCACGTTTGTGGCATTAGACTTCCAGATTTTAAGGAGAGATTCCCATCATGTCCCGTTCTTTTCTTTCAAATTCTTTTAAGAAAGGGAAAAATCATAATGTGTCTTTCAGTTGGCTTGTTCATCGGCATAATAAATATTGTTAAGTATTTTCCAATTAAGATAAACACATAGAGTAAAACTTGTCAAATTCAACATTGTATTTATTAATGTATTTACTATTGTTTAATCCTTTCTAATTTTCCTTTTTGTCTGCCATGGCTTTATCTCAACTAAAATGCAATGAATTGATAAGATTTAAAATTTTGAATGTTTTTTTTTTCTTATCCTTTAAAAGCGTGTATAATTGTTTTGAATATGGGTACTGTTTAATATTTCTATTTTGTGATTTTAGCTTACAAATTTGGAGAGGAAGTGGCAACACCATGAGCAAAATAATTTTGTGATGAAAGAATGTATCCTTTAAAAAGAAACAAATGACTGAGTGATTTTTGTTTTATAAAAATTTATTCACTTATTTGAGAGAGAGAGATCTGTCAGGGGGCAGGGTAGGTAAAGGGAGAGAGCATCTCAAGCAGACTCCCCGCTGAGTGGGGAGCCTGATGCAAGGCTTGATCTCGCAACCCTGAGATCACAGCCTGAGCCCAAACCAAGAGTCTGACACCCCACTGACTGAGCCACACAGGCACCCAGGGTGATTTTTTTCCTAAGAATGTTTTAAAGACGGAAATGAAATGAAATTTAATATACACTTATCAAATACCTAATATGTACAAAGCCTCAATCTAAACTATGTGGGGAATAAATGAATGAGACTTCGTTTCCAATCTACAATAATTAGGGTGTGTATGTGTGTGCGCGCACGTGCATGTGTGTACATGCACGCTAACAACCAAAGTAACAATAGAAAGCAGACTATACAAAGTTAGTGTGGCATAGTGACTGAGTGCACAGGTTTTGGAGCAAGGAGATCTAATTTTCATTGTTGACTCTACTACTTGTAGTTTATGGACTTTGGACAATTTATTATTGTTAAAGTTTGTTTAAGCCTCAACTTTATCATCTCAAATATACTTAATATTTCTTTCTCATAGAGTTATTGGGAGAATTATGTATACCTACAGAAATATGTATGTGCATAATTGTTTGCTGTTGCTTATAGTGCTGTACCTTGGATATCTGGGCAGCAAAGGGAAGTAAACACATTCGTATCCTGAGAAATTTGACCTTCAAGCTCATCTGTTTCAGCCAATTCAACTTCACGTTTTTACCAAGATGGCACTTACATCCCACCTTCTTGCTTTATCTTTTTGTGTGATTATATAGGAGGAAGCACCTATTTGAGGACATATGTTTTGAAATTGTAAGAAACACTTCTTTGAAAGTTATTTTCTGTTCCTTTCTTTGACCCTTTAAGGACATCTCTGCTTGGAGAAGTAGTTCCTGACTCATTGGTAGTTTAGATTCTCTTCCAGGAAACTGCTAAACTTCAGCTCAGGGCAGCATGGATCCCAGCTTACTTCCAGATCAAATGCATCAGGTGCTCTATTCCTAGCAGTTGTTGCTACTTATTTTAAAAGCAAAAGACTCTCACTCAGTATGCTTTAGTCCAGCAGTCTAGTTTATGCAACACAAAGTAGGGGACTTTGAAATAGAGTGAATTCTAGAGACTTCTGTAACTCAGTGCAGTACTCTAGAGAACATGGTTCTTCTGAACATTCAGTTGTTCTCAGACCAGAATTAGATTGAAATGCACAACATTAAATATAAAAAGCTCTTATGGGTGCGTTGGTAGCTCAGTCAGTTAAGTGTCTAACTCTATTTTGGCTCAGGTCATACTGTAGGTGAACTTTTTTTGAAACACATTTTCCTTAGCCTTTTAGATTTCAGTTGATCTTAATCTGTTAATATATATTTTTAAATATATTCTAATTGTTATTTTTCTGGCCATTTTCAGTTTTCCATAAGAAAAATACCAGTATGATTTGGTCCCTTCCTAAGCCAAAGTGGATTACTGTTTTTGTTGATCACTGTTTCCCCTTAACTCATGTAATTAGTCATAGCAACCAAGAGTCAAGAGAGTGATTACCAGTCAATTATGAAGAATGTGACCAAGCAGATTGCAGAGTACAATAAAAGCATTGTGGACGCTCTACATAGCATGAGCAGAAACTGAGTCTGAACCAACTGCAAGTCTCTATAATAGTATGCTTTCTGCTAAACTGTATGTTGACTGAAAAAGAATCTCATACCCTTGAAGAGTTTTACCTAAAATTTTTAACTACTATAATTTTTGTGACCTCTTTGAAGAGGTATACTACTTTAAACAGCATAATAGTTCAATAAAAAGTTTGCATACAAAAAAGCATCTTTTCGTATTTCTTTTGTGTGTGAGTGATAAAAATGTCTCAGACAACCAAGAGATAAACTAAAAGTGGCCATTGAGATTGATTTAGTTGGTATAATCCACCTATGGCAGCAAATGAGATCATTTTTTAAATGTGTCAACTCTAGAAGGGATATACGGAGTGAGATTCTGACTTAGCACTTAGATCAATCTTGTCAAGTTTTGCTTCTAGAAAAAGAAAGAATGGAAGGCAGATGTTTAGTTTTGAGGTTTATTTCTCAAATAGGGTATATTTGATGTATTCTAAGGAATATAAAGTTGCAGGTAAGTATATTAACTCCTATTCTTTGCATATCAGTTATCCCTAAAGATTCAGAATTAAAAACTTTGACCTTTGTATTTTACAAATATTTTCTTATGTGTATATGCTAGGAAAAACATGAAGTTTAAAAGAAATGCTGCACCTATTTTTTTAATTTTATTATTATTTTTTAATAAATTAATTTTTATTGGGGTAGTCTGTTTTAGGCAATGGCTGTTGCTGTTCATTGTCACTCTGGAGTATATATTCACTCTTATGGACTGTAAGTAGGTTAATTTGTGAGCATTGCCAGAACATTTGAAAAGAAAAACTAGAAGAGGTAGAATTATATTGTGTAAATCTAGGAGATGTTGTAATAACTAAAGATGTCTTTGGGCAGGAATGAGTCATCTTGGCCAGCATAAAATATTTCTTAAAACTATACTCCTTTTGCTCTGATTTCATGTTCATCAAGTAACTCCACATCTCAGTAATCCTGAAAGACAAGCATATTTCTTTGAAAAGTGGAGGGCTTTACTGAGATATAATTTACATACTGTAAATTACCCATACATGTTGCTTTCCTGAAGTAAACATTTATCATTAACTCTTCAACTTTAGTGTGTGTGAGATTAGGAGAAAGGGTGAACATTGTTGATTTTGGTTAACTCTGGATTACTAATATGGCTAAAGATCCTGGAAAGTGATAGAGTCATTAAGGTGGCATTCTGAAAATGCGCTCCTCAGATCTTGAGTTCTTCAGGTTATTAATAGGTGTTATGCCACCAAAGGATTCATGATCAAAGAAGTTTGGGAAACATGGTTTTAAACAAAGGTAAATAATTTTCTTTCATCTTGACTGCTAAGAGCCTTTAATATGCTAATGTGCAATAAGATCAGGAGGAGTATAGATGTTTAAGGTTTTAGGGATTTTTTTCCCCCTGAGTGGTGGGATTGCAGTTGTTTAAATCTGCTTCAGACTTTTTGGTCTGAAAATTTTAGGGTTCAAAATCATTTATCATGTACATAAAATATTTAGAAGTACAACAAAAATTCAAATACACTTCTGTATACAGTTAGTACTTCTAACCTGTGGGAAGGAAGTGTGATAGACAACTCTGCTGTTATTGAACTAAATCTGACCCAGTCTTCACCAAGAAAGAAGGTAGGAGGAAGAGTGACCTATCTAATAAACATATGTGTTTGCATTATAAGAATGAGAAGCTTGGCAGAAAAAGAAGAAAATTTCTTTAAAAAAGCAAAGTTTCCAACCTCTGTTTTAAATTACTCATATATGATGTTTGTGGAACAATAATAGAGCAGGATTTCTTTAAACTAAAATGTGTTATCTGAGGGAAATTCTCACTAATGTCTCTTCCTTCCTCTCAGAGCTTTTCAACAAATCCAACAAGAATATTTCTCTGCTAGGATAGGACTGGAGGCTACTATCTGCATGAACCGGCTCTTCCTCAGTCCGTCACATTGCTCAGTGAGTTCCATTCCTGTTAAAACAACATCTTGTAAGTCATAGGGAAAGAAGCTGCAGACTGAACAAACATGCTGAGTAGTTTTACTAATGAAAGTCAGCATGGGAAAATTAGCAAGTCCTTGTTTTTCCCATCCTTATCTTTTATCAATAAATAAACATGAGTTCTTGAATCTCATTTTCACTAACTGGGGAGTCCTTGATTTGGACCACATTTAAACGTGTGAAATTCAGTGCAGGGTTAAAGGATTAGAGCATGGAGTAATGCCATTCACACTAGAGATAAAAGACGAATTAATAGAAGCTCCCAGGGTTCTTGCTATCTCCCTGCCAGGCAATTCGAACAGACTTAAAGTAAGAAGAAATAAAGATGGACCACTGGAGCACTATTGCCATTTATTTTAATATTGATGTATCTTTCATTTTCATACACCTCTCTAAATAAAAGTAGGTTATGTCTTGAAATTGCAGATTCACCATTTGAGAACAGATATTAAGCATCTTTAAAAGGACAACTTAATTTTTAAAATTAAGTTCTCTGCCCAAAATGGGACTCCAATTCATAACTGCAATGTCTGACGTCAGGATTCACATGTTCCACCAACTGAGCCAGCCAGGTGCCCCAAAAAGATATATTTTTTTTTAATTTATGATAGTCACAGAGAGAGAGAGAGAGAGAGAGAGAGAGAGCAGAGACACAGGCAGAGGGAGAAGCAGGCTCCATGCACCGGGAGCCCGATGTGGGATTCGATCCCGGGTCTCCAGGATCGCGCCCTGGGCCAAAGGTAGGCGCCAAACCACTGCGCCCCCAGGGATCCCCCAAAAAAGATAATTTTTATTGCAAAGGTAGAAAATCTACGAAACAGATAACAAAATGAAGAAAATAGATTTGTCATGTCTCCAGGCTCTTTAGATTGCTCCTCTGTATATCTGTAATACATATCTCTTATTTATGTATATATATTTTTTATTAAAATTAAGATCATATTCTTTTTTAACTTTTATTTATTTATGATAGTCATACAGAGAGAGAGAGAGAGAGGCAGAGACACAGGCAGAGGGAGAAGCAGGCTCCATGCACCGGGAACCCGACGTGGGATTCGATCCCGGGTCTCCAGGATCGCGCCCTGGGCCAAAGGCAGGCGCTAAACCGCTGCGCCACCCAGGGATCCCTAAGATCATATTCTTAAATTTACTTTTGCTTTATAGTTTTGCAAACATTTGTCCATGTCATTATATATTCTTGTACAACATGTTAAATTGATGCATATTATTCTGTTCTACAGATATTCTCTAAAAACAAATCCCATATTACTGAATGAGGTTTATGGTGTAGGAATTAAGCATAAGTTTTGGATTAGGTAATTGAGTTGGAATCACGACTGCCCTACTAACTTATTATATGACCTTGGGAAGTTACTCAGTCTCTGAATTTTAGTTTCTTCATCTATAAAATAAAATAATAGGGCCTAGCTCATAAGGTTGGGTCAGAGTATGCAGAATCCAAATGGCTTTAGAAAGGTAGCATGATATTAGCAGTGTGTAAGAGTGCTTGTTTCCCTGTACTCTGACCAACACAGGTGTTAATCCAGGTTGATAGGGCACTACTTCATTTGTTTTAGTTTTTTTAAATCAAATTGCCTCCATTAGTATAATTAGAAACTTTATTGTGTTTTAATTAATATGCAGGATATGCTGTTTCATACTAAAAAATAAATCTATTGGGACGCCTGGGTGGCTCAGAGGTTGAGTGTCTGCTTTTGGCTCAAGGCGTGATGCCGGAGTCCCAGGATCGAGTCCCACATCCGGCTCCCTGCACGGAGCCTGCTTCTCCCTCTGCCTAGGTCTCTGCCTCTCTGTCTCTCATGAATAAATAAATAAAATATTTTTAAAAATCGATTAATAAAAATAGAATTTTAAAAATATTTATTCATTATAACTTTATAATAATGAAAGTTTAATGCTTAATAGTTACTTTTAGGGCAGCCCAGATAGCTCCACAGTTTAGTGCTGCCTTCAGCCCAGGGCGTGACCCTGGAGACCCAGGATCGAGTCCCACATTGGGCTCCCTGCGAGGAGCTTGCTTCTCCCTCTGCCTGTGTCTCTTCCTGTCTTTCTCTCTGTGTACACACTTTCATGAATAAATAAATAAAATCTTTAAAAAAAAGTTACTTTTAAAAGATAGTAGATTATACTTTGCTGCCTCAGTATCTTCTCTCATAATACATTGTAATAAATAATTGCTCTGAAAAAGTTAACTGACTGTATAACCCTAAGGGAAATAGGAACAATCTGTGTAGAATTAATTTATCTGATAATAACCAGGGGTGTTCTGTTTGGTCTTCCTCCAAGTCAGAGCGATTACACATAAAAACAAGCTGTGTTAGAGGAAGGACAGTAATATCTATTAGAGAGTTTGGTATACAAGAGAGTTTGGAGGAAGCATGAGTCCAAAGAATTTATGGTCTGCTACTAATAAAGGCTTAGACACACACTAGGTAGGTCTTTCACAAGAGAAATATAAAAATGAGGTTTTCAAAGTTAACTTTTGTTTTATATCCACATCTTTCTGGAAAACCATAATTCTTACCATGATAACAACATGGGATACCATGGATGAAAGGCAGACTTTTAATCAATTAAAATTCTGTTTGGCACAAAGTCAGGGAAGAACTGCTGTTAACCAAACTGAAATATTATCTCATTTTCTGTGTTTTTATTTTCAGCAGATAAACTCACCCTATTAGAGGAAGTCCAGACTGACATGAAAGTGAAAAAATTTGATATAGTCCATAAGTTCAACCTGAATTTTTTTATCAAAGGATACTATAGTTCATTTTTTAAAAGCCTCTATCTTTAATTTGCTTCTTGTTAAAGTGAACTTTCCCTTAGTTTACTGGAGATGGGAAGGGCTGCCTTAGGGATTGACCAGCCCGACCTTATCCCCCCTGCCAAGGACAAAGCAGGGACCCGTATCTCAAGATTAGGGGAAATGGTTAAGAAGGAGAGGAAAAGAAAATTGCTTTTCCAGCTTCTTTAACTTCCCGTGTAACCAGAGAAAAGCAGATATCCCTTGGGAGGAAATAACAAAAGTGCTAAACAGTAGATGGATGGATGAAACCTGTGTCCCTACAGTGTACTAGAACTCTTGCCTTTATAATGTCCCTTGCTTGTGATTATCAGAAGGCCAAAAGAACATTTACTACCAATTGGTGCTACC